GACATATTTGTGGGAATCTCGCACAGAGACTCGCTTATTGGGGAGCATGTTTTCATTAAGTCGGGACAATTTGTGACTTGCTTTTTTATTTAAAGACTTGAAGAGGAAAGGTTTTAGACAAAGCGTCAGTGAACCTATTTTTTTTTTCGGTTTGGATGTTGTTTTTGTACGAATAAACACTGATCCAAAGATTTTACGTCTCTTTTGCGTCAGCGCTATATCTTATGATACTAATACAAATGATAAGCATCATGGAGAAATTCTGTTTTATCGATCTCACTAATTAACGATGCCTATTGTTTGCTTTTTCTTTTTATTTTTGTTAAATAATATGCAAAATAAATGAATGATTATTTCAATAAATTACACAACTATTACATCATCACCCGTATAATTGTCCTAGAATATATGCATTATTAAGGTACTGTTTAACACTTTCTTCCGCCAATAAACTCGGCCCAACTCTTAACTTCGGCAGGGATTTGTGACTTCGATAATTGTTGCAATTCTTGATTCTTTCTCTTAAATGCCTCAACAAACAGTACAGCACACTTTCCATCATTTACAAGTGGAATGCCAAAGTCTACAGCCGAACGTCGAGCTAAGTAATTCTCATCCTTATCATCTGGTGCGCGCAATCGAGCCAAATTAAACACAAAGTCGATTTTGTTACTATCGAAAGCTTTGTGCAATGATCTCTTATCATCAAATGGCAGATCAACGGTAGTAGCGTTAATTCCTTCTGAATTGAGAAACTCTGCAACTGCAGGCGAACTTGTATATAATGGATGTCCCAGACCTTGCAGAGTCTTGGCGACATGAAGGAAGTCAGCCTTATCTGTCAATTCATCCATTCCAACCAGGATACCGCTCCCTGATTTGGGTATTCTGAAATTTTGAGTCGACTGGATAGCTGCCCAATAAGCCTCATACTTATCTTTTCCGAAGCAAGCAACTTCACCCGTTGATGCCATCTCCACACCAAGGAATGGATCGGCCCCACCCAATCTAGTCCACGAGAATTGCGGTACCTTAACAGCTTGATGGTCCAGTTTTTTGTTCATCAAATCAACTGGCGCGGGAACGTCGTAATCGCACAGCGCGTGAGTAGCAATATCAATGAAATTGACTCCAAGCACTTTGGAGACGAATGGGAAAGAGCGTGACGCTCGAAGGTTACATTCGATTACTTTCAGCTCTGGCTCACCGCCTTCGACATCTTTCTTGATCACTTGCATGTTGAATGGACCATTAATTTCGAAAGCCTTTGCAACTTTCTCAGCAATTACTCTCAGTCGTTTCATTACAGAGTCTGATAAGTCTCTGGACGGTAAGACAAGCGTAGCGTCACCAGAGTGAACACCAGCATTTTCAACGTGTTCTGATATAGCGTGTACGAGAAGTTCGCCATTATGTGCAACAGCATCGACATCGATCTCTTGGGCTCCCTCAATGAACTTGGTGATAACCACCGGATGTAGTGGAGACACTGAAGCAGCCTCGACCAGATTCCTATGTAAAGCCTCCTTCGTATGACATACATTCATAGCCGCTCCCGATAATACGTAAGACGGACGTACGAGAACAGGATATCCGACCTTCTCAGCAAAATTCTCTGCCTCTGCGGCGCTTGTCAGTTCTTTCCATTCCGGCTGATCGACTCCAATCTTATCCAACGTCTCGGAAAACTTGAATCTGTCCTCAGCCCTATCGATCATAACTGGGCTTGTTCCTAAGACCTTAGCATTGCCCTGATGTAACTTCAAGGCAATATTCTGCGGTAGTTGTCCACCCACGGATACAATGACACCCTGAGAATTTTCCAATTCGTAAATATCCTTGACACGTTCGTAAGAGAGTTCTTCAAAGTAAAGACGATCACATTCATCAAAATCGGTTGAAACTGTTTCTGGATTGTAATTGACCATTATAGTCTTCTTGCCCATCCTTCTTAGAGCGCGAATAGCAGACACACCACACCAGTCAAACTCAACAGATGAACCAATTCGATACACTCCCGAGCCGAGTACCATAGTACCTTGATCTGTGAATTCAACATCATTGGTTGTTGCGTTGTAGGTCATATACAGATAGTTGGTTGTGGTAGGGAATTCAGCAGCGACTGTATCAATACGTTTTACAACTGGAATGATATTTAGATTCTTTCTTGCTTTTCGAACATCTTCTTCGGTGGTATTTTTCAAAAATCCAGCAATCTGTGCATCCGAGAATCCCTTTTTCTTTGCCTCACGCAGTAACTCTGGTGATGTCTTTTCAAGAGTTTCGACGCTTTGCAGCTCGCGTTGTACATTAACCATGTTGCTCAGTTTGTACAAGAACCATTTGTCTATTTTTGTAAGGTCGTGGATTTGATCGATTGAATAGTTTTCGTCTAGCATGGCTTTGCCTACTGCGAAAAGACGACGGTCTGTCGGAGCGGATAAAACATCGTCGAGGTCAGCAAAGGGGAGGGATTGGAAGCCTTTGAACTGTGGGTCCACTTGGCGAATGGCCTGTTTTAGAATTAAATTAATATGTCAATGAGAGCTATTGGCAATGAATCGCTATTATACGCATGCAGGATTCTTCTTACCTTTTGCAGACTTTCTTCGAACGTTCTACCAATAGCCATGACCTCACCTACGCTCTTCATTTGACTTCCAATATGGCGATCCACATACTGGAACTTGGATAAATCCCATCTGGGAATTTTTGTAACAATGTAATCGAGCGAAGGCTCGAAGCAGGCCGATGTTGTTCCAGTCACAGCATTAGGTATCTCTGTAAGAGTGTGTCCGAGAGCTATCTTGGCAGCGACAAAGGCGAGAGGATATCCCGTGGCTTTTGATGCAAGAGCACTGGAGGAAAATATCGATTAGTTCAAACATAATCTATAATTATAATCGGCTAAGAGATAAAATTGCAATCACCGCTCCTCTCACCTACTACGACTCAATCTAGCATTAACTTCGATAACTTTGAATTCCAGTTTGTTGGGGTTAAGTGCGTATTGTACATTACATTCTCCAACCACACCCAAATGCCTAATAATTTTAATGGCAGCCGTACGCAGCGTGTGATATTCCTCATCGCTTAGAGTCTGACTTGGCGCAACGACTATCGAATCTCCGGTATGTATACCCAATGGATCAAAGTTTTCCATATTACAAACGGTGATACAGTTGTTCGCGGCATCTCGCACAACTTCGTATTCGACTTCTTTCCATCCTTTCAACGATTGCTCGACAAGAATTTGAGGGGCAAGACTGAGAGATTTGGTGGCAAGAGCGCGAAGCTCATCAGGATTGTTTGCAAAACCGGAACCGAGACCACCAAGAGAAAAGGCTGAGCGGACAATCACAGGATAGCTTACTTTTTCGGCTGCGGCAAGGGCATCGTCGACTGTTTCGACAGCAAGAGACTTTGCAATTGGAATATCGATTTCTGGATTAAAGAGTGAGTTGAGTGAGTGAGACAGGATTGGTCATTGCAGGGGATTATGATTACGATTTGATAGTTGAGATAATTTCACATACCTTCCAGAGCCTTGGCAAACTCATCTCTATCTTCGCTAATTTCCAAAGTACGAATTGGCGTACCCAACACTTGCACACCCAATCTTTGGAATACTCCCATTTTGTTTAAACCGATTCCGCAATTCAACGCTGTTTGTCCTCCAAATGTCAATAGGATCCCATCTGGACGTTCTCTTTCCAGGATATACTCGAGATACTCGACAGTGACGGGAAGGAAGTAGACAGAGTCGGCAAGAGCATGAGATGTTTGAATGGTGGCAATGTTGGGATTTACAAGAACGGTTTCTATGCCGGATTCTTTCAAGGCTTTGATCGCTTGGGAACCTAAGGATTAAAATGAATCAAATTTCGTTATTACTTTGGTAATTCACGTGACAAACCAGAACCAGTTGAATAGAAAAAAGAAAGAGAGAAAGAGATAGAGGAAAGTCGCACTTACCGGAATAGTCGAATTCTCCAGCCTGTCCGATACTCAAACCACCCGACCCAACGACCAACACTTTCTTGACATTGGGTTTAGGTGGCGCAGGCGAAACGTGTGGGCTGCCTTCCGCTTGTCCATTTAACACAGTACTGTAGAAATGATAGCTCGTGCGATAAGTTGTAGTGGGGATTTTACGAAGAGCTGACGTGGATGCAAAAGAAAATGGTCGGTAAATGTGAGTGGACGCTGTGGTTGCTGTGGGTATGCGACGAGTAGCCTTATGAAATTGTCGCTTCGCGTTTACGGGTGGTATGCGCACGGGTGACGTTGCACGTTGACTCAAAGATAGTGCTGTTCGAATTGGGCTCTGGGCACGCTGATACAAAGTTCTGTACATTTTCGGAGTATACGTTTTTGGCTCGGAATATATAAATGGGATTTGCGAAATAAAACGAATTTTTGGGGAGGAGGGTAGATTTCAAATTGGGTGATGGGTGTTTTTCTAGATAATCGTTACGAATGATGACGAGCAGACAGAAAACTAAGAGTTCGAACGATTAACTCTGATCTTTTTTTGCCTCCTATCACTCGTTCACTCTTTCGTTATATCGTTGAGAAAATTTTTATGAACTGGGAATTTTCTCTTTTTTATCTTTAAAGCATTTGGGCTGTGAATATGATATGCATAGATTGGCGACAAAATGTGCTAGGAGATAATCATTGCATAGTTTACACATAGATATTGACTCGATTGGTGAGATCTTGTTTGTAGAGATATCTGATTTTCTGTCAAAGCACGATCTTGGCAATAGCGAGCTATCTAGAACATATACCATCAATCATCTAAAGATTGATGATGGCGGCGTGGGAAAATCGACATGAATATAATGCAACAGCCAACCAATGATAATGAGACATTTTACCGTTGACAATATCGTTATAATGTTATCAATCTTTGTGTGTGGCTACTACAGCTATTATTGTCGTCATTATTACTATTATTATCAATCTTGTTGTTCCATCAAATCAAACAGTGTTGGAAATAAACCATGTGCATTTGGTTATCGATCAATCGATCATTATTTTACATCTATGTTATCCATCTCACAGCGTACTCTGATTATCGACAAAATAAGTATTATTACGCCTGACCCGGGTTGGTTGCCCGAGGGAAAATAAAGAGATATCAATTACATCATTTTCACAGTTAAGTTTTTTGAATGCATTACGATGTCCAATTCCATGCGCTCGCCCCGTTTTTTCTAATAACAACTCGCTAGTTGACGATCATCACAAAAATAAACTTCATCTTTTTCCCACTCGGCTTACCTAATTTAACGCACTATGCAAGTGGGTCGGGTGTGGGGTATATGGTTATCTTATCTGATATCCCAAATGTTTGGGATGAAAGAAGAAAGTGTGCTGGCGAGAGAAAAGTGAAAGAAAATCATGGTAATCTAATAACAATGTAAAAGTCTAGTATGCGGCGTATAATTGTTGAAATGAAAACTAATCCTGAGATTAATTAGTTTTGTTTTGAAGTAAGAATATAGGGGATGTGGAGCAGTCGCATGGTAGAGTTGCACAATATGACAATACCTACTTTGTTTGTATGAATGTGAGATATTAATTAGCTGTGTAATTGTTGTTATCTATTGTTACCTACTTTATGTACGCACATCTTGGACCGATGACTTGCTTCTCAAACACTCTCTCCTATTGCCGTTGCCACAACAATATCAATATCAACAATCATAATTCTTCTAGCGCACTGACATTGGACACATGTCTCCTCCAGTTTTTTTTTCTTCTCCTCTTCTCCGCTAATGGATCGCGTGCGCCGAGAGTTAACCGAGTTACATAATTGCTCATAGTAATAGAGTAACACAATTACTAATATTCCAATGTTCCGCAGCAAGCTTGCTTTACATCCGTTCGTGGAAATGACGAATATTGTTTTGAAGCGTAACTAGAATAAATATATCCAACTGAAAATCCCCAGACATATTTTGTGTGTATACGTACAACTTTGATACCCCTTGGTACGTCCTAACCAATCGAATCAATCGACCCCTATACAATGTGTTGAAAGTTTCGCCATGTGTAGAGCTCGCGTGTATCGGCATATTACTTTCATTAAGCAAAATCGGGTTAAATCCATCATGGTTGATGATTTACTACGAATACGTAAATATATAAAAAAGACAATAAAGATTAGCTAGCATCGTCAGTAGTACGATCCTGTCGTCAATACCAATATTGTCATTAGAATGTCAGTGATTGGGTATAACAGTTACTGCAAATATATACGATTACGACATAAAATATAAACACTATATTATGTAATTCCACACATTTCTTCTTCCTATTTCACTCTCTTCATTTCTCTCTCACTCTCTCGCTCACCAGTTTATTCCTTTTTCGATTGGGTGAGCGTTCTTATCTATGCTTATTGGTGACAGTTTGTTTATTGATGATGAACAACGCTAAGCGAAAGTCCCAATGATAAAATTAATGAAATGTGAAGATAGTGTGAAGATCGCATAATATGTAATATATATAGTAACATTGTGGCTATATTAGCGCTGCTTATTATATTCAAGTCATTGCTTAGTGCTACTTCATTCTCATATGATACATGTAACCCACACATGAACACATGATGCGTATTTCCAAATTCTCACTCGGCGATTGCTACCATAGACAAAGAACAACAATCCTTCGGGACTCTGCAATTCTGTACAGTATGGACACGAGTGAGCGTGTGCAATGGGGTACGGTGGATGTGGACATTTAAGGGTGTTTGTGATAGCCAGTCCTGATTGTTTGCCCACTAATAATTAGTCATTGTCGGTTAGTCACTCGTAATTAGTGAGTGGTTACAATTCGCATGTTGATTGGAGGGATGGTGAGTAGCCATCGTAACTTTCAGATTACAAAACAAATACGTTTAATTAATAAATAATAATCATTGGCAGAGATATCAATTAATGTTCATCAACACCAACAACCACAACAACAACAACAACAACAACAACTCGCGAAAGTTAGTATAAAACATAATATACGGCCTAGAACGTTGCATATTTGTCGTTAAAGTCCCAATATTCGTACCCTGCATATAATTACCGTATTAATCATTCGGTCCATCATTTAAAATTCCATTCATTATTCGCGTGCATTTGCAACTGATAGATAAACTGATTATGATTACTTGGGACTTCCCATTCGGCAGCTTTTTACTGATTGTCCCTGATAAACCAACACCATGGGCAACAACCATAAAATACTACATATATATATGTACATATATATATATACATATTGTGATTAATGGACTTGCTCTTTATTATATTTTGCACGAGTTCACTATTTACACACCAAACTTGCTATTTACCAAATCTATTCTCTTGCAGCTTTCTCCAAATAATATCTTATAACATGTACGACTGTATGCACCATCTAGCTCTGGCAGTGACATCTCATTTTATGTAGCCAAACTAGGCAATCTGTACGCATATACCACGCGGCTTCTGTCGATTCCTTTGTTCAAGGGACTATTCTTTGTGAGTTGCTTACCAATAGAGGCAACGTAATCAACTTAATGACTCGGGAATTGGATTGGATGGAGAAGTTATGCGTGTACGACTAATATGGTAGGTGCACGTAATGCAATATAATTTTATACAATATGCATGAAATATTTATACAGTTTATTAAGTATTCATGCTTTATGTAACGATAATAATACGTACAATACATACAATACATACAATACAAGTACTCTGTTCTTCTATATCATCACCTCATTTATGACTTTTTGATTAATTGTATTTTACAGCTCGCCTTCCCAGTCGCTTGTACTAACTATCATACTAATATGAAATACTGCGTTATTGTTTATTTTTTTTGCGGGGAAATGAAAAATATCAAAGGAAATTATTTAAATGTTTATTTGTGCACTGGAGAGCATGCTAACCAGTGTGTGCGAAGCATTTGAGAATAAATGGTTACCCAGATGTGAGATCTTATGGTAACCATATTGTGTTCATATTATATCTCAGGATAATGTTACATATTGTATATTCTGTATTATTATTACATATCATTAAGCATATACCAATTACACCTACAATCTATTTTAAATTTTTAACGTATTATTTATTTATTAAAAGCTCGGTTATTAATATAATGATCAGTCACTTGCCATATAGAAAAGTTGTTCTAAATTCTAATCGGGTCTTCTTCTTCTTCTTCGACATCTTCAACAAATTTCCAGTTAATTTGACAGTTACAATCACGATCATCACTTGATATAGCGTGACCCACATTATTGCCATGAACATCGCCCACCTCCTGTCAGTATCACCACGATTCAACGACATCAGTATTTGACTCCTGTAGTGCTTTGCTACTTATGTCGTATCATGATGTCGGATACTTACTATATATTTTATAGAATTCTAATTCATACTGTCTATTTTCTATTCATTTTGTTACTCTATTCTTTCTCTAATGCGTAAAGATCCGAAAACTTAATAAAAATATTAATAATGTGCCGTAACTCAATCAAACAACTATGGAAATCTAACATATTTTTTTAGTCTTGCACTACTACTTACAGAAAGTCTTGTGTTCGCCTCAAAAACTTTAACCCATTAAGAACAATTATCAAAATTTATTTCCCGAAATATTATCACATCCCAATCCACGTTTCACCTCCCACCCAATCCTCCAACTTCTTTATTCCACCCTTCTCCCCTACCCTCTCTCTCCCCCTCCCTCTCTCTTTTCCTCTTTTCAACCTCCATTCCCTTCCACATGCTTTCTAAAAAACAAATAACAATAATAGATTACAAAATAGACTCTACTCAAAAACTCCTTCCGCGAGCTACTGATAATAATTAATTTATTAATTTAACAATAACACAAAGTAAAAACTCGTATTCTGATATCTTCTTGCCTTGTTCTCATTGCTATACGTTTTGATACTAGTATCACCAAAAGACTATCAATATCTCCACTGCTAACACCTCGTTCCTTTTTACAGCACGACTTCTTTCCTCATCGTTCCCACCTCGGCCAAGCTATACTCTTGTTTCGCACTCTTCATTATACATACCACTCGCACAAGCACACACACACACACAACACACACACATATACAAACAAATACTGCAACAATAACCACACAAAAGCCACACCTCTTGTTCACGCATCAAACTTCTCTTACTACTCTCTTCGCCAAATCCCTACCCGCCTCGGTTTTCAAAAACTTCTCGACAGCTTTCAGACCTTATCTTCTCCCCTATTCAGTCTTTTCAACTGGCTCCGAATTTAGACCCTTCTACGTCGACAGATTCTCTTCTGTCACCCTTCTACATGGAGCCAAGTCGGTGCTCGATTATAATAGTTGATCGGAGTCTTCCCGAAAGAAGTTATCTTGCACACCAAAACATTCCTGAACCATATATAACAAATGGGATAGTCAACGGCAAAGATGATTGTACCAAAGATTTAGATATATTCAAAGTATTAAGCGGGTTGTTTGCAGAAGGTAAGTATTGCGAGGAACAAAGTGTATGGGAGTAGAGAATGTGTCCCATTTGGAGGTACTATTGCATGAGAGAGAATGTGCGGTACGAGAGGATTTGCTCTACTCCCGGCTTATGGTACAAAACAAAAACCCCGAGTTGCGTGTGAGCAAAAACGATTAACAAGGTTTCAACAAGATATGGGAATGTTTTCCAAGGAAAAACAAGCAGCCGAAATAGAGGGCAAATACCGTATATGCAAACAACTGCAATCATCACAAACATTAAGCCAACGTAATCAAAGACATTCAATCCCCGGACGACTTTCAAATGTTGGTTGCGCGATGATCGGCCAGCCTTGGTACTTCTTTTCATATTTAGTTTACCGTCAATATGCTCACAGCCACGTGGATCAAGTGAGATCGTGTGATAACAACAATAACTTACACGTGGACCCACAAGCGTGGGCATTTTAGGGAATATATAAGGACTATTAAAGCAATACGCGGAATTGGTTATTCCTGGAATTTTTCAACTGGGAGATTTTGGACCTGAAAAACAAAAACCATTGAGTGCCATTTTTTTAGTACCTCCAATCGGGATGACATTACTCATGACACCCATAATTTACCGTTTATTTACCGCTCAAAATTTTCAGAGAATGTTTCAAATCTAACGACACTTTTTTTTTGAATCACAGTTACCTCTGTCAAATCAGGCACTGAAGCTCTCACACGTCTGCGCAAACGTCCACGTCTTGGCGGCATTCCAACAATAATTATAATAGATATTGATCACGAGGATAACCGTGAGTACATACGGCGAGAATCATATGTTCTCGACGTTACCAATGGCGTGCCGATGAAACCGCTTAGTAACGGGAGTGTATTGTACGGCACTTCGTTGTTAAAGTGTGTCAACGATGAAATCCGGAAAGGATCCTTGGATCAAGTCATTCCTATTGGTAGGTTGAGTGGTGGTGTGGCTGTGGCGAAGAGGGGTCAGGCGATAAGAAGAAAAGATTATTTGACATGAGGAACCAGTACATGGAGATAGTGGGTCGAAATACGCGTAAGAATGGGATATTCAAACCGGTTGACTGTTGGTTTGTGAAACTAATCCTCTTACTAATTTTTGCTAGTTTGTTCGTGGGGTGATTCCTTCGAATCAATGACAAATTGCTTGAATATGGGAGCTGTTGATTATTTAATAAAACCTGTTAGGCCAGAAGTGGCAAAAACTCTTTTTCTGGTAAATATTGTCAAGAATGCCAAGAAAATGTCGTTCCAATAATGGCAATGTTTACGTATATATTAAATGTTGCTATTGTGATTGGTTTCTCCTTTTAGAATATATATCGTGCCGATTCGATGGTAAAGACTTCAGGAACGGGCATGGCGCTAGAGTGCAAAAGACCAATAATGCGACGAAGCAAAAATTGGGATTGTTTAAAGACCAGGTTACACGCAGTATTTGTCGAGGATAAGTGGTGCGTTAACTAAAAACGCGTCTTGAATTTACGCACGCTAAAATAATATCTAACTCGATCAATTTTCCATTCTTTTGCTTGAAGGCTCACCGAAGCTCTGTTCGAATATTATTCTCCGCCCGATTCTGTGTTAGCTACATCTTACTTTCCAAGGTGAGTTTTCTATCTGACATTGTTTGCACGTTTCCGGCTCGTTGTTGCATCGTTTCTTGCTAACAGTTTCTGCTATATATCACATGATTAGTCTGGACTCTGCTGCAGCACTCGAGCGAATGAATTATCTAAAGAAGCAAATTTCAGAGTGGGAATTTCCTCCTCCAGATCTGACAGACGAGGATCTTCTTCGATGTGCAGTGATCATGTTTGAACACGTTTTAAGCATGGACGAGCTTTCGCATTTGGATGTGTCAACCGGTAAGTAGAATTTTAATTACAACTATTCAGCTTACAATTGATATATACCACTTAACAACATTATGAATTTACATGCTCTCATATTAACGCCTTACTTGTCCATTTTCAATTTCCGTTCTCGAAATAAAGAACAATTGCATCGATTTTTGTTGGCCATTCGACAGTCTTACCATGATAGCAACCCATATCACAACTTTTGCCATGCGGTCGATGTCCTTCAAGCTATGTTTCACTTTCTGTGTAAAATGGGTCTCATACCGCCAATTTTCACCAGCAACAAACGATTTAGCAATCGTAGCGTGAATCAACAAAGTCGACGAGTCAGCGACTTGCTCAGACCGGCTGATATTTTTGCGTTATTGTTGGCTTCTATTGGACATGACATTGGTCACCCTGGAGTAAACAACAAATTTTTGGTGAGTGGCTAATATGATGAGTGAATGTCAATAGAATGAATGAAATGTCACTGAATGCTAACTGAATTATAAATGTTCATAGGTCGACGCACGTACGCCATTGGCTCAGCTATACAACGATAGATCGGTCCTTGAGAGTTTTCATGCAATGGCATTATTTAATCTGATGGATAAATACAAATTTCATATATTCCAGGATGAAGACAAATCTGGTAATGACTATGCAGGTGCGTTTTATAAACGCTCCCTAAGTTCATTTCAAATAATTAACAAGTTATGCATTATTTATTAGAATTCCGAAAAATCGTCTTGAACGCAATTCTCGCGACTGATATGGGCTTGCACAACGAGTATGTCACAAAAATAAAAAACTTGACTTCCCGATTTACACAGACAGGTTTTGTCACAAGTTCTCCAGAGAGTTTGGAGCAAGAACGAATCATAATCGTGGGTGCTCTCATCAAATGTGCTGATATCAGTAATACGGTAAGTTATTCAATGTGAAAAAGGAGGTTTATCAATTGAACTAGAGTAACCAACTATTTGGATATTTGTATATCAGGCAAGACCTTATCACATTGCGGAAGGGTGGGCTACCGTGTTACTGGAGGAATTTGGTTGTCAAGGCGATCTGGAGAAATTACTTGGGTTACCCGTCGGACCAACAAACGATAGAGAGAACGTGTCACAGCCAGGCTCCCAACTAAGTTTCATTGAAGCATTTGCCATGCCTTTGTTTAGCTGTGTTTCCGAATTAATACCTGGTAAGAATGTCTTTTAGTTTTATATTACACGCTCGGAGTCCAAAACCACGCGAACAGTTCATATTTACTTTTACCCTTTTACTATAATCTGCAAATTTTGTCATAGAAATGAGTTACTATATTCGCTTCCTTAGCCAAAATCTTAACACGTGGAGGAGGAAAAAGCAGGAAGAAAATGAAGGCCGTTCAACAAGACAAAACAGTGAGTTGGACTCGAGTGTAACAGGTAAAGGATTAAGATTATGGCATCTACCGTTTTTTCTAGGCCTATCACAATCTCCTCTAGTTTTCTCTTTCCACTCCCCATCCCACTTCTCCATTCCACCTTACACTCTTTCCCTTTTTTCGTCCCTCCCTCTCCCCAGCTCCACTAACACGCACCTCTCGCAAAATTCCCAGTCTCTCTCGACAGCAGACAAAACTCGCCCATAGTTCCAATACCGGTTCCCGCCGCCAAAACTCTCGAACGCGATTCAAGCATGACTATTATCCGCCCTATTCCATCCGAAGGCCTCGTATCCGAAGCACTGTCCGAGGACGCCAAGTCAACTACGCGCGATGATCTCGTGTCTACGGGAGCATCCGACTTTCCACTAACGTCGCGACATCGAAAAAAGAAAAGACTTGGATGGAATCCGTTTAAAAAAATAAAATGGATGTCCCACTCGGGGGCAAACAATAATGCGATGGACGATAGCAATAGTCAGACTATAAATTCTACAGTGTCTAGCGACAAGCGCGCCGGGACGGGTTGTTGCTGTGTACAGTAATAAGATATTGTGAAGTTTAAAAGAGCAACTTGCGGAACTTGCTCTTTCTTCGATATTTGTTTAAGATGAGGTGAATTCGGCCCACAAAAAAAAAACTTTTCTATCTCCTCTTTTTTTTTTTCTTCTTTGCATTGAAAAGAGTTCGTACATTAGTTCGAAGATATACATAGATACAAATAGATACACAAACACATATACACATACACACATATAATATTGGTGCGATTCTCTGCAAGCACACATCCACCTTTCTATTGAGTGTTATTTATCCATTTTTTCTTTCTTATACCCTTTCTTTCTGTATAAATAGCTGCATAACATGTATCGTAAATAAGCACGATCCGCATTATACCACTTTTTTTCTCCTCATCTCTCTTTTCCTTTAGAACGTTTCTCTTCCTCTTTTTTCCTTGTACAGATAGAGTTGTGTACCCTACTCTTCTTTTTATCCCTTACCCCCTTCCCCCTTCAGACTCTCGTTCTAAACTTGTGTTTCTTGTACAGGATAGATAGACTCTATTTCATTGTTGTAATACCCTTTCTCGAAAGAAGTATATTATAAAGCTTGTCTCATTTGTTATTAGCAATTTTTTTTCTTGTGAAAACGAGGATTGAACGCGAGAATAGGGTAGGTGTGTATATTTCACTAAAGGATTAGTATGAACACGCCTGTAAGAACACAGCTTGTTGCATGCAACCTATCCCTCCCCCTCAAAATCGCCATTCAATTTGCACATTCTTGGTGCATCGAATGCTATCGTCTCCCCCTCTCCCCACTCCCACTTCAGTTAGATTATACTAAATCTACTGTTTAACTAACTGTTTAGATTTTATTCATCATAACCAACAACTAAGGGGAAATATTAAGACCTCTTTTTGGTAGTGCACCGTTGACAAAATTAGGTAATATTGTTGTATGAATTAGTCGTAATAGGTTAGACAAGAGTTTGGAAGGAAAGCAAAAAAACATGTCCCAAAATAGTATATCTCAATAAAATATTTTGATCCTGATGTAGATGTTTTCATGTAAGAACAAGGGTAAGAGAATCTGTGCCTGATGTTTGCGTCTGCCAGCGATTTTGATGTTTGATAGATTTGGGATGCTATTAGAAAGATTGCATTTCAATATATCTTTCCGTTGATTATTGTCAGGGAAACATTTACATGGGTTGATTAAAACTGATGATGCCATGCATGCTTGGATGTTCTAATTCGTGTTATTTCCAGTCTCTCTAATAGAAACAACAATTAATAGTAATATATTATAGATAATATGTATATGTCTATCATCAGTCATCATCGTCATCATCTTCATCGTCACTGTCTCTGGATGTACTTGCATAAATTGTCCTTTCGGTTGACTGTTTAGGTGTATCTAGCCTATCATCTATTTTAATTGCTCCCACTGAGGCCAAAAAATTTTCAACAGCTGTAATATATATTGATACAAATTATTAATTAGATATCCTACAGACGTGAAACACTAAGGTCAATAAAGTTCACTCAACTCACCTTGTATCCCCCCACGCTCTCCTCCTAATTGAGCCAGCCCAACAACCTGCGCTTTGATATCACCCTCTCCATAAACCAACAGGGTGGGGAGGTTTCTATCTGGATAATTGGGAATACATTGATTTCCAATTATTTTAACGAATTTTGTTGATTTGTATTTTTTGGAAAGAGTATTCAGATAGCTATTAACAAGTCTGCAATGAGGAAGGCTGTCAAATAGGAGGTGGCAGAAAAAGTTCAATCAAAATATATTATCACATCCTAATGACTCAGAAACTAAGAATTATAACTTCCTTTACTCACTCATCTCTGTATAAATGCACAACGACCCAATCGTCTTTACTTGCTTCACTGACTTCCTTTACAAACTCGGGTTTGGATATATGTATCACTTCACCATACTTCTCTCGCATAGCCTGAGCCTTCATCTCAGCAATACGCATTCTTCTGATTAATCGATAACGTCGTTAGACAAACAGTTAAACACAAATTCAAACGAGAATCGTCACGTCGTTTCATTTGCTTAACATATCACCTATACTCCATCAACACCCTCTCATCCTCTTCATCTTCCAATTCATCCAATTCATCAAGTTGTCTTTCTTCCAGATGCTTATCCTGCGCAGCAGCTATCGCTCTATCCATCTCATCCGCTATCTCCTCCTCGGTTGGACCTGGTCTAGGAGGGAGAATACCTTTGGCACGGAGGATGTCATTCCTACGATTATGAACGGCAAGTTAGATCGAAGAGAGTGAGCATGGAAGAGAACATGAACTAAATACCATTCCGTATCGGCATTCGGATCTTGCATTATGATATGTTAATCAGAGTATAAGTATAGAATAGGGATAAGAGTATGTGAATTATCAAATTGCGTAAGCTGTTAGTGTTCCTTTATATGCTCAATGACTTGTACGTAGCAACTTTTGCATGTTGGGTGAAGCCAAGAAAACCTTCCGCTTGGCCCGATTAATGTTAAGTATTGATTGAACGTTTTAATACTCATAGCTTACTTGTCACTGGACTCAGGTGACACGAAACTATAATGCCAAAGAACCATCCGCATTGTATCATATTTGATTTCGCTTAGATTATTTATTATTTCTACGTTTTTATTTACAGCGGATTACAAAATTTTGTACGTATGTTGCCTAAGATATATACGATAGGCTAGTTTACTTAAGGCCGCTTGGAAGTTTACTTCGCGTTTTTTGTACCGCTAATTTTTTATATGCTGCGAGCCATATTAACAAAAGGCTAAATTTCGACCCTATCTTATTTTAAGAATCTTTTGTAATTTGCTTTCTTTATTAAATTGCTTCTACACGATTCTTTAAAATTGTCCATAAGTTTTCGGTTGGGGTTGACATCTGGGCTACTAGGCGGTCAATCCACAATCTTTGGGCGTTGGCTGCACGAAAAGTTTCATTGTTTCCTGCTTCGGGTCATTGTCTTGTTGGAACACCCAGTTGTTTCATAATTATCGAAAGGATTTTTAGTTAAACGATAAAGCATAGTATCTAAAAAACAAAACTAACAGGATATTTTACTGAGACGACATCTCATACGTGAATTTCATATGGGTGTTTTACCATGGCCTCAGTAGTTAAAGACTCTGAGTATTTCGAAACATGAAATATGACTTTGTTCCAATTTGTTTATGAGGAGAGGAATGGACTTTGGAATTGTGGTAATATTGCACGCTACGAAACTCGTAACATTCCTGCATCGATAATCACAACATGCCACGTCGTTCAAGCTCAAATACTATTCTTTCATTGGATGCTCAGCTGGCCTCTCTTGGCAAGCTGTGTGTGACTTGGCAGCTAAATTCCCTAGCATCGGCCTCCCACAAGTCACATAATGTGTTATACAACTCTCTTTTAATTGCAAAGAAAATTACAATGCATCTATTCTCATTACTTGTTTTCGCACTGAACTTGGAAAATTCTTATCAAGAACGTATTATTAATGTTCGTCTAATAAGGAACAAATTGCTGAATTAATTTAAAAACATTCTACTTCAACTGAATTGTGTTATGCCCGAGTAGACCGTTGCAGTTGGCGATGGTTTAAATAAAAGTTGTATCATTATTATTACCTTGTATTTACAGTATTTGGTCGCACAAGGTCGCAGAAAACGGTATTTGATTAACTTGATATTAGCCGTATCAAACATAAGGCCATGTGTCTGCGAACCTTATTGTCAGCTGAATATAGAATTCTTTCTTCTGGACAAGCTCTTCCTTTATATCATCGTGCATGATAAAGATGCTAGATTATCGTATTCTCTGCAAGGAGCATGTACGGGTTTTTTAACCATGTAGCAGACTTCGAATGCGATAAAATGATTGACATCATTGCACTTGTACCTTTTGTTATGCTGTGTAGGGATGATTCGAACAATGTGTACATTCTTCTGCAATTACAGTTACTGTTAATTGTTAATTAATAATATAACATCCGGTTGACAATAATTATAATAACGGTTTACTAACATGGACTGGCCGAATAAGAGATCATATTACGGGGCTAAGCCTAGATAAGATGAGGGATGAAAGCCCGTATTAGTATTGCCAGTTTCTGCAGGTTACTTGAATAATGTTCATGCCCTTTAAGGGTAAAATAACCTGTATAAATTGTCGTCCAATCAAATCCCACTGTGGCAACACACTTTTTTGAATTCGAAAATGTGTCCTTCCTATTCTTCGCTCACAGATGACTAGTTGACAGTTAGTCATTATACGACATTAGCGTATCTTAACTGTTCCCGTTGAACACCTAAACATAATATCGAAAGATAGGCCATAATACCCGAACACGTTAATTTAATGGTCAAGGGCAATGTATTTATCCGAACGTCCGAGACTGTGATAATATATATAATTTATAATAATAAACAGTAACTATTCAAAAAGCTCGGAAAAAACCTAAATAACGAGAAACAAATATCCGGTCATCTTAAAATATCTTGTCATAACTATAATCTTAATAACTTAGCGGCTCGGTCATGAATTCACATACTCTCTTCGCGAGTGAACATACGCAAACGGAATTATGGAGCTCGTACTCAAGAACGCAAATCTTTTTTATGGTTTTATCGATTGCATGGTGGTGTTTTATGATGGGATTTGCAACACTCGGCTTATCAATTGCGTGAGTATATCACATGCGAAGCAAATTTGCGGTTCATGTAGACGAGAGAGAAATATGAAAGTGTAATTGGACAAAAACAACGAATTTCTCGCTCACCGATTCTGTAACAAACAACTTTTATTTTATCTATTTAGTCGGAGTTGTTACTCTAAACTTGACCGTTCTAAATCATCACAATTGCCCACCGATAAGGCGGAGGGCGTATCGATAATACAGCCATTAAAAGGATTGGATTGTAATTTGTACGAGAACCTTGCATCTTCATTTCGTCAGGACTACCCAAAATTTGAAATAATATTCTCGGTTGCGGACGAAAACGATCCTGCAATCAAAATAGTGAAAGATTTAATAAAGAGATATCCGAAGGTGGATGCTAAACTGTTAATAGGTTCGTATTGCGAGTTACAAGATATCACATTTGGCTTTATAATATACCGTAGGCTTTCAACAAACGCATGTACTCATACTTGATTTACTTTTTTTCATTCCAAATCTTGTTATTGCTTCTTTCTTAATTCAAATTTACTAGGCGAGCGGAGAGTCGGTGTGAATCCAAAGATAAATAATATTATACGTAGTTATGAATCAGCCAAGTATGACATTCTCTGGGTAAAAGACTCTAACGTCTATGTTGATCCGGGATGCTTAGGCCGTTCAATTGATAAACTCAATCAGCCTAATGTTGGTCTAATACATCATCTGCCATTTGCTGTTCGCCCGGATACATTTGGGTCTGAATTAGAGATGATATTTCTCAACACTGTGCATGCAAAGATGTATCTATCAATCAACTTCATAGGTCCAGATAGCTGCGTAGTTGGCAAGTCATGTGTATACCGGAAGAGTGATTTAGAAAAAGTAGGTGGACTGGAACACTTTGGGAAATATATGGCTGAAGATAATTTATTGGCAAGGGCATTATGGAGAAAGGGGTATAAACATGCAATGACAGGTGACCTGGCATATCAACCGCTTGGGTCAACATCGTCTATAGATTATTTCATGAGAAGGTCACGATGGACGAGAATACGCAAATACACCGTCACTGCTGCTACTGTCGTAGAGCCATTCACAGAGTCTATCGTGTGTGGACTATGTTCTGCTTACGGATTCAATTTACTCTGGAACATCCACCCGCTCAATTTCTTTGCATTTCATCTTATTACTTGGTTCATGTTCGATCTGGCACTATTTCAAGCATTAAGCAAGAGAACAGTTGAAGTGGAGGATATACGCGGATTCATCATGGCGTGGGCTATAAGGGAAATTACTGCATTACCATTGTATCTATATTCAATTGCGGGATCCACTGTCGACTGGAGAGATACCACTTACTTCTTAAATAGTGATGCAACGGCGACCATCGTGTCTCCATCTAAGCGGAAGCAGCATTCTTTATCTGTGATTGCACCAACCAACACGCAGACACGGAGAATGTCCTCCTCAAACGTACACCCATGGTTGGTCTCTATTCTTACTTCGATTATATTGATGATTGATATTGTATTGGACATACTGCTTAAAAGTCAGAGGAATGGTAAACCAACAGAGAGCAAGGCCGAAAAACAAGAGAAGCATCGGAATACTAGGAAACGACGTCGGGCAAAGGATGATGCGGATGAAACGGATGGGAATAGCTCAGAGGAAAGAGAGATGGCTAACCGGGACGATCCAATCCTTTCTGCAGCTGGGAGATACTTACGTAGTTCACTCGGCCGAACCAGTTCATATCTTGGAGTACCATACAATGAAGATGAAACAGATTCATCACCAGATGAGTCGAATGTCTTGTTCAATCAATTTCTCTCTGACAATGAACTATCAACCTTTCCCTATCCTTCATCTTCTTCTTCTTCGTCGCCAAGTCCGATTAATGATGCATCACATAAGCGATCGTTATTTAACGAAATTTTGAGAAGTGTGTCTATTGGATTATCCATGCACTTGCAAAATGAGAAGAATGTAATTGAAGGACAAAGACGTTCGTCTATTAGTGTTGCGCGGGAGAGTTTAGGCAGGGAGAGGGTTAGAGGAAGAAGTATGTCTATACATGTATAGTGGGCAAGAAAATTATTGAACGTCGTCGGTTGCAGTTCATTATAATATCGTGATGCGCATATAGAGTGATGATTAATAAAATATCCAATATCGAGAAGTACGCTTAATACTCATGTCCGATAATCAAACGTGCTTGCTCGTTCGAATTAATCGTGAACACGCACCGCAGAGCGTGTATTCTATCATGTATGAGAGCACTAACATGATTCAAAAAATTTTAATACGAGGATAAATAGGATCCCAAAAGGTATCCGTCTATGAATCTCCCGTTCTGCATTAATTTCTGTGAAAGTTCGGATAGGTGTAAGAAAAGTGAGAACAAACCTCAAGATTATCATATCAATTCGAAACAAGCGCGTTGTCCAGAACGTTGTTTATGAAATTACGATCTATATATTGATTTGTACATCTGCTAACATATGGAACAATTAATTGTGATCGATTCATGACTTTCACCTGGGGATTAGTTGTGACAGCAAACGAATGCATAAAGGTGCGATAGCTTGCGACTGATGATTACTTCAGAAGCGGCAATTACTTTCATAACTCATTATCCATAGAAAAAACCCAGCCGTAATCTCTTAAGAAACTTTAATACAAGTACATTTTTACAATGGTTTTTGTGAATTAAACAAAAAAATTTTTTGGTACTAATACTTTTAGTTTAAAGTCCGTCTACTGCATTGTTCATACCCAAACTTTTTTTTTCGAGACTCGAATTACTGTGTAGCCAAGAATTGCTCGTCGCCTAGTTAGCCTGCGACTCATCCTACTAATGAAGATGCCGGACTAATCCTGATGCGAACATTCGCAACTTCCCAGTTCCCATCCTGCTCACCATTCGACAACATTATCCAAAACCATCTCCTCAGTCAACCAATCCTCTTCCAATTCCTCATCTCCATCAATTTCTTCCCAGTATTGATATATTCCTTCAAGATAAGGCTGAGAGTTTTTTAGTCGAAACGGATCAAATGGAAAAAATAAAAATTCATCTAAATTCGTAGAAAAATTATCGTCCTTTCTCCATTCGTCGTTTCCATCTGAAGATAGTAAAGACTCGCCATAGTCGCTCATCAGACTGTAGACAAACATAAAATCAAGCGCATTGGTTATGCGAGCAAATTGTTTTACTATATTTCTGGAACAGATCTGATATGAAAAATATGAAATAAAAAATTGCGATTTTAGTAATAGAATATTGATATATCAAACCATGTTTGCGATAATGAGTATTGCTCGCTTAACATAATGTCAATGCATCAACACGGTTTATCATTTTTAAAATGTTTTTCGACTCTTACCTCAAGTGGTTTGTACGCGGAAGCAAGCACATAAGGAAACGGTGTTAACTCACTGCACCATCTCCGTCTCGTAATACCATCCTTGCAAACAATATCTACCATCAAATCTTTCCACCGAAAGCAAAAAACATACATAGTCGCCTGTACAACAGCATAAAACACGCTATTTGCCACTTTATCGGGCTCACCTACGGTCAACTCGTTCACCTTCACATATTCCTTCAACCACGTCGAGAGAAACCCAATTGACCTTCTTACAGTATCTCCATCCAAATACTTTGCTCGTGCCACATAAGATCCGAGATACAATGCAGCAGCTACTCTTATAGGCACTGGATGCAGTATTGGATCAGATGAAGTTATTATACTGTGGAGAAGATCTAGATATTCACGAGCAAAGGACAAGCTTTTCCCAGTGTACCAAAATATTATGAATTGAGTATATCGAGATTTGAATGTTCTGAGAATAAATTTTTCAAAGATATTAAGAAGAGTTGCTAGCAGCTGTTTTGAGGTTGCAAAGTCATTCGCTGCTGTTGCATCTTTGTAGTGCCAATGCATATAATCAAGCACTAATTTGATCATACAGTCCAGCTTTTCCATCATTTCTTTTATATCGTATGACATTTCCTTTACATTATCATCATCCTCATCGATATCATTATTCTCAGAATATAATTTCGTTATATCTTTGCTGGTATCATTGACGGACACATCCTTAAGGCTACCATCTTTTTTAATAACTTTTATTGTCTGATCATCAGTTGTTGAATTTAATTCTGCTGCATATAGTTCCATCTCATCTTCTAGTTCTTCTAGGTCTTCCAGTCTTCCTTGTATTTCAACCTTAATAAGAAAATAATAAAGCAAATCAATCAACCATTACGCGCACGCTAAACATAGATGACCATCTTCTTTACAATAGCTTACATCAATTTCGATAATCCTTTGTATTGTTTTCTCGAGAAGCTGACTTTCCAGATGTGGAGCATATGCCAGCAATCGTAGAAGATTCTGTACGTAAACTACTTGAGCATCAAGTGGCTCGCTTTTATGAGGAAATTCGCTTGACAGTATTGGAACAAAATTCAGTGATGCAGTCGGACGTGCTGACAGCACGTATTTTAGTGCGTGATGGACTCTTTCATGTCTTTTCTCAATCGACGTTGAGTGGAGATCTATTTCTGTTTCTTTATATAAACGCAGACGGTACAATTAGTATATCTTAACCACTCGATCCATTGCCCTCCAATAAATCTCGCATTCAAGCACTTAAACAGGCAACTTACGTAATAAGAGACCTTTTACCAGCATTCGTAACACAGGCTTCAGGAATGCAGGATGTCCTGTTGACAAATTTCCTAGAAACATCGTATAAACATGCGCCAACATGTCATCGAATCCAGTCCAATCAACAGATAACACAGCGTCAACTAGTTTAAACGACGACCGAGACAATGTTGGAGCTACTCTCGACAGCGCTAAAATCCATAAGTGAAGTCTACGCAGTTGCGATGTCGTTTCCGGCTTACTTCTCAAGGTTTGGATTATTGATTCATAATCTTCGCTCTTTCCCTAAACAATGATAGTGAATATTCAATTATTGCCAAGATATGCATGCATTTGTAACTTTTTTACTAGAAACCACCGACAGTTACCTGCTTCTGTCTAATGACAGCATTCTCAATATATGTGGTTGTAAATTCTAATTCTCTTTTTCGCGCTTCAAGAACAGCCTCCTTGTCACCACGAGGTACCTTATTCACACTAGCCATGCCGCTCATGAAGTCGACACCAGGCGTGAACAAAGCTGATAAGTTTTTAAATACTATATTCCGTAGCTTTTGTATAATCAAGATGAAAAAAAAAATTTTTTTTTAAAAGGAAATAATGTCCGTCACATGAATCAGTCACCTGAATAGAACTTCTACAAACGAGTTTGTATCACCTTCCTGAGAATGATATCGATATTAATATGTTTTTATTTTAGAAGTAGAAAACAGTATATTTTCTACTTACTCCAGACTATTACCTACTTATGAGTATACTGTTACCTACTTATTTATAGACACCCATTTTGACCTCTAATAAGCTTGATATTTACTTCCTTTTAATGGTTTGACGATATGTAGATCATGTTTGTATCGCTTATTCAGAACCGCTGAGAGATGCAACAGTATGACGTGCGTTTTGTATTTTATGACACGCTCGAGTGATGTGCGATTTCTATTTTTCACGTCGCTCGAATGACGACTGTGGCTAATTTTTGTCGTCAGGTCACATGCCAACTATTGTATGCTAGTTTGGCAACCGTATCTGATTTCCATTGTCGAGCCACCTTAGTAAAAAAAATATACCGACGATGCATTCAGTCACGTGTCGTCATTTGCGGGCCCGATGTGAAGGCTATGCCTGAACCTGGCACGTAGTGCCTTAACTTTCTGGTTAATTCCTCGATGAGGGCCAGGTTTGAGGCACGTAGTGCCGAAATAGTATTCGTGTCATGGCTTTGTATAATGCATTTGAATACCGATTAAGAATGAGGCACATAGTACCGAATTGTTAGCATTTGTTAGCTTTGTATAATTCATTCGAATATCGCCCAATGTTGAGGCACATAGTGCTGAATTGTTAACAATTGTTAGCTTAGCATAATTCATTCAAATATCACCCGAGAATGAGGCACGTAGTGCCGAATTGTTACTCGGTGACCCACCAAAGCATAATTTATTATTATATATACAGTATATCTGTAATAATTATACCTTGGTGCCCCACTTTTTTTACTTGAAATAATACTCACCTGGTGACCCATCAAAGCACAATTTTATATATCTTTTATCTGTAATAATTATTCCTTGGTGGCCCCAAAAAATATATCACATATGACCCATCAAAGCGCAATTTTTGTATAGTTTAGCCTTTCTATAATAATTTTACTTTGGTGGCCCAAAAATTTTTTGACATAAGTTGTCTCTAAGTATACTATCACATATTTTACAATGCGATTACTTACCCGAAACTATATCTCGATCAAAATTATACAACGCAAAAATGGTCATCAAATATCTCGTATAGCGAAGTTAGTGTCTTATTTCGGGAGAAGACATTCCATGCCTGACACATATTTTGTAACGCGACCCAAAATCGCACGACACAAAAACCCCTTTATATAATCTATGTATCGGAATATGAATTTTTTATTTGAATTTTCTGTATACTTATTGTAAGAGGTGACAAAAATCCCCCTACCCAAGATGAATGACTAGTTAAATATAGCAATCTATCTCCTTCAGAAATTGCTACTTAATTAGATGATGTTATCTTGATATCTTATATCTGCTTTGTTTTATAACAATTATGCGTATTCAATGATTGCTAAAGATTTATTTTCAATTCTTTTTGTGCGGAGTAGTAGGAACTTTCATTTTAGCCTCGAAATTTCGCTTATATTCCAAGAAAGCAACCTCATCCATACTCTCGCGCTCTTTTTTCCAATAATTTTGATTATCCCGCATTTCAAAAGCAATCTTGGCTCGCCATTGTTCCAGTTTTTCTTTCGACATTTGGAATTTTTGTTGTAAAATAATGATAAGAGTATCTATATCAGATTCGTTTTTGATGAGATATTCTGAAGATAAAAAAATTAAGGATTCAGGTAACTCTTTCTTGACTTCAACAATGTTTGAGAATTGCTTTGAATTATTTGATTGATTTTGTGTCAATATTATAGAAGGCAATTGTGGCAAATTAGTCACGGATTTCTCAACTATATTAATAACAAATGCGGTTTTTCCTTGATCTGTTGAATCGTAAATCACGGAACTCATTGGAATGATTGTAACTTTCAAAAATCCACTGAAAAAGGCATAAGTATAGTTAGTTAATGTATAGTAGATGCAACCATACTATTTACTCACGTCCTTCTTTGAAGTATTTCTAAAATCAATCTTGTCAATTGCATCTTCCCACGAATAAATAATTTTTGTTCGTTTCTTGGCATCGTAATATTCAGGCTCGACATCTACATACATATATTATGTGGTGTGTATAAATTAGTCCATTATATTCCTTCGAAAATGTCAAAAACCTAAGATCATTATTACCTTTGCAATTAATTTTAGAAGACGGAGCAGATGATGGTATACGCAAACCATCATTCCGATTTGATTCTATGAGAGGTTTTTTTGAATGTGCTTGGTCGCCAGGAAGAAGATCATCCATACTCTTTCCGGAATACGCAACGTTGGTAGTATTACTTTTGCCATCATCTTCAAGCGATACATTTGTTAAATCTTTTCGCTTGATTTCATCATATATAAATATGTCAGTTATCTGTACAATTTAATTTGATTTACAAAACTATATCAACTGGACTCACCCTTTTAGTTGACGTCGCTTCTTCCTCTCTGTCGATTTGGTGCTTGGATTTCCATGATTCTAACAGGTAGCTGGAGTATATCATCTTCTCTTTCCTTACATCTTTATTTAGCGATGCATGATATTCGTGCTATGCAAATAATTCATATTATTAGAGTAGAATACCAGAAAGTTAATGTCGTATTCCTGGCTCACCTCTGCGGTTTCTTCATTTTTTGCTAATTCGTTAAGGTTAGCTAACCATTTTCCTTCCATTTTTTGTCAAGCTCAAAAATAAACGAAAGCAAGATAAAGACATTAGTTAATAGTCCCAATAAAAATATATACATATTAACAATCGATCGTGCGACGAGGAAACCCAGGGTGGCGCGAGGACACCCCGTATAGTATCGATGCTTGTTTAATAGAGCACAGTAGTAGCAACACGCCAAGGAAACCCAGAGTGGCGCGAGGACACTCCGTATAGTATTGACTTGGCTGAAAGCCAAGCTGTGTTGTTAGCAAAACTATACTCATTTGCACACAAAATATACTAACCTTAAACGACTTTTTTAGTGCCATTGCCTTTGAACACTCCAAAGGATCGTAATTTTGTTCAATAAAATCCAGACACTTCTT